ATTAAGAAACCAAATTAAGGGATTTATAATTTTTCAAAAAAAAAACCTACGGCCGTGTCATTATAATTTAATCTTTCGTAATTGTAGTTTCTTCAGTTTAGCTACGCGATTAATAGCTCAAAGCTTTTTATATAATGAAATTTCTTATTGTCTCACGTGAAAGATCTTTCTCGAAGATACTGCTGGATTGGAACAAAGGATACATAAGTATCAAAATTGTTGGTATGATCGAAACTTGCTGGAGAATAGAATCTGTCAGAGAGGCTTCTGGTGAAGAGTAGCACAGGTGTTAGGTACCTGATAGGTATCGACCAAGTTCTCATACATTCCTGTTTCCACATTTTTCCCGCAGGAGAACCTGCCGTTATAGCGTTATCGATTCGAGCCATTCGCTAGATTGGATGCTCGGGCCCTTTCCGCCAATTAACTGAATTAATAAACTTTTTTTTTCACGTGTCTATCGATTTCAGTGAAGTCACTCGAACTTGCAACAAAAAATTCCTTTTTTTTTTTGCTTTTTTTCGTGCACTATACAGAATGGAACACGACGACTAGAATAGCCACTTTCGACCACGACTTTTCTATTTTTTTACATAGCGAATATTTTCTCTACAAAGTGGTTTCTTCTTTGTTGAATTTACGTTACATGTAGTGATTGTCAAAAGTCTGATTTTGCCAAATTTTTTTCACTCACTTGTCACTTTAATGAATAATCGTGGACGATTAATTTTGGATGAGAAAAATATTACTAGCAAAAAGATAATGGTACTGCGTCGGATGTTACAGAATCGTATGAGATGAGTCAGGATATTTATTGTTTCATTGTAATTCAAATTTTATTAAACCGTGTTGTTCTAATGTTTCTAACGTAATATCAGTTTCGCCTTACATTCTGATTTTTTTTTTCTTTTTATAAAATAAATCGTCAGTTGTCAATAATATCGATGAAATTTTAAATTAAAAAAACCAGGAAACTAAGGAATTTATAATTTTTCGAAAAGAACCCACAGCCGTGTCATTATAATTTAATCATTCGTAATTGTAGTTTCTTCATTTACGCGATTAATAGCTCGAAGTTTTTTATATAATAAAATTCCTTATGACATGAAAGATCTTTCTTGAGGATACTGCTAGGTTGGAACAAATGTTAATTATCGTGCTTGTTTCTGTGCAACTGTCGACCGTTCTCGGTTGACAATCAAATCAAATTCTGCCGGGTGTTATCTTCATCGTCAGCAGACCAATTCCGCAGTCAATAGATTGACTGAAGCGCGTATTATGAATGCTCATTGGATTACAATTGCGATATGGCGATATATCGATCGGTGTCCAACTTCATGTGACCCGACTTGATCTGACCTTCGATCTCCAGTTCGAGTCAGGCTAAATTGATTAAGTTGCTACGAGTTTTTTTTTTTTTTCTATAGGTCTTTCGACGAGTTCGTTGCAACTTGCTCGCAGTTCGCAGAATTGTTCACGGCTTGCGAGTTGTTCGCGAACAGCTGTGTGGACGCGGCATTAGCGTTCGAACGTTTCATCGGAACGGTAATGTAGAAATAAGAGCATTCGAAGTGGCGATCGGCCGCGAAAACCCAATACGAGCTGGGATTTTTCTGCCGACTTCCGGCTTGTTCGCGATCCGCTGTTGAGTATACTGAGAATGAATAGGCTGAAATCGAATTCAATGTAACCAATGTTACGATCGAGGATTCTTCCGTTTTATGTTTCTTTTTTTTTTTTTTTTTTTTTGGAATTTTATCGTCGCGGTAACAGTCAATTTTTTAAACTTTTTGAGAAATTTTCCAGGGAAAAAGTATGTCTCTGAGAAATTTTCATACGAGCGAGACTAATTTAATGAGTCAAGCTAATAAGAAATGCAGCCAGAAACTTGTGAGAGACTACTCTAACAAAATTAGAAAATTTTAGACGATTAACATAAATTAATAATAACTTCAACTTCAGAGAACAAAAAAGGCCTTCTTCTCTTATTCCTCGTTATTTCAATTTTTCTGATTTCAAGATTCACGCCTTAGTGTAACATCGGTTACGCTTTAGACGTTGATGTCTGCGATGAACCTAAGTATTCGAAAGTTTCGACCAATATGGACTAATTGCAATTTATTTCGCAAAATTCTCACGAATAATGGTAATCACGCAAGCTTCTGGCTGCGATTCGCGGATTTCCCAGGCAGGTAAAAGGCCTTGAATTGAAACGGTTCCAAGATCAGGACGCTGGAGATAGAGAAGTTAAACCGCATAGTCCGGTACTATGAGCAATATTGCTTTAAGTAAGATTGAATTTCGGCTTTGGCAAGCGGTGCGCTTTTCCCTCGATAAATATAGCTTGAAAATTGAAATGGAATTACGGAGCTTCGACCCACTAGAAAGTAGAGTTGTATCGATGAATCTTTCGTTTCTTGGAAATATATTATTATTACATGTACGTATATATTAATATATTCGTACGAGAAAAAGTTCAATCCAATAACAGTACTAATTTTTGTAATTCTTTCAAAACATTCTTTCACAGATGTTGATTGTGAGATTAAAATTGAGTATCTAAGTGTATAATCGTCAAATACGAAGTCAATGTGTTTGCTGTAAAATTAAGTTATGGTTTTTTTTTTTTTTTTTT